TGGTGTTAATATGTTTTTGAGTTTATAAATCACTTTTTTGTGGACCTTACAATTTGCCCCCTTTTCTGCCTGGGTGTTATTGAACTTTTCAGTTGAAATAACACATTCATCTCAACCTTTCATTTGAAATGTATAAAACCTCCTAATTAAGTGCAATGATGCATTAACATGGAATTCAACAGTTCCTTTTAAATCATGATCTCGACATCTGCAAGATCACCACCACTAACGCACTGTAGAATGATAAACTGTTAAAAGTGAATAAGAACTCAGAGGTTGTCTAATTAACCCCTTTATTTTACCTGCCATCAAAGTGAAGTTATTTGCCCAAGACTAGAAATTTGAAGCTGTCTTTAAACTCTGTATCTATCTAATTCTCATCATCTTATGCATCGGTCTTTGGGAAGCTCATGGAGACAAATACCTTAGGCTAGAAAGTTTGAGTTCAAATCTTAAGATTGAGAACAGTGACATTCTGGTGGTAGTGGTGGAAGGCTGGAGGGAGACCAGAGATGGGAAAGAAATTATAACAGTATGACTACTTACCATTTTCTGTTGTTGTTGTTGTTGTTGTTGTTGTTGTAGTAGTAGTAGTAGTAGTAGTAGTAGTAGTAGTAGTAGTAGTAGTAGTGTCTAATCCTGGAATTCATTTTAACATCAGAGTTATGCTTCAAAAAAGTGCCACATTTAATATTCACTGTACCTGCACTGTAGCAAAAATGTGTGATTTTCTGTGCCTTCTTTAGATGCTGTATAATACACTTTCTTGTTTTTTTTAACATTTATTTTAGGTTCGGGGTACATGAGAAAGTTTGTTACATAGGTAAACTCATATCACGGGGGTTTGTTGTACAGATTATTTTATCACCCAGGAATTAAGCCCAGTACCCACTGGTTATCTGACTCCTCCTCTCCTTCCTCCCACCCTCCACCCTCAGCAGGCCCCAGTGTCTGTTGTTTCCTTCTTTGTGTTCATAAGTTCTTGTAATTTAGCTCCCATTTATAAGTGAGAATATGCAGTATCTGGTTTTCCGTTCCTACATTAGTTTGCTGAGGATAATGACCTCCAGCTCCATCCATGTTCCCACAGAAGACACAATCTCATTCTTTTTTATGGCTGTGTAGTAATCTGTGGTGTATACGTACCACATTTTCTTTATCCAGTCTGTCATTCATGGGCATTTAGGTAGATTCCATGTCTTTGCTATTGTGAATGGTGCTGCAAAGAACATTTGCCTGCATGTGTCTTTATGGTAGAATGATTTATATTTCTCTGGCTATATACCCAGTAATAGGATTGCTGGGTCAAATAGTAGTTTTGCTTTTAGTTCTTTGAGGAATTGCCATACTGATTTCCACAAAGATTTAACTAATTCACACTCCCACCAAAAGTGTTCCCTTTTCTCTGCAATCTCGCCAGCATCTATTTTTTGACTTTTTAGTAATAGTCATTCTGACTGGTATAAGATAGTATCTCATTGTGGTTTTGATTTGCATTTCTCTAATGATCAGTGATATTGAGCCTTTTTTCATATGCCTGTTGGCCAAGTTTTCTTTTATATGTTTTCCTGATGGCTCAGTGGGATCTTCCCAGGTTCAAGTTTCTCTCTTTTTCTAGTGAAATCGTGATTTTAAAAATACATGATTAATTTGTCAGAAGTTGTTCCATAATTTTTCTAAAAATGTAATACATTTTGTTGATTTTTTCTTTTGTGTGTTTTTTTGTTTCCTCAGCTGAGTTTATATTTAATCAGTCTCTAAACTTAGAGCCATTTCATTCAAGGAAAAAATTTATTTTATTTTCAGACATTTCCCAAGGTGAGTGAGGGTCTAAGTACAGGGAATGGCATCCTCTTGTATTTCAGATTAAACTTTGAAAAAGCATTAGCAACTTTTAGATCTCATCTCTTCTCACTTATGAGCTACTACAAATAAGTAGGAGAAACGAATATGGTATTTATGAAGCTTTGAATATGAGAGTTAAAGATTCTTCTTTATATCATTGCTATATAATTTTAGAAATTTTAGAAGATAAGTTGTAGCACTTTGATTCAGATTTTATATTTTTATTACAGAAGTCAAAAGATGTGTCTTAGAATACAAGTGTCAGGCTTGGATGTTTCCTACATTTGAGAACTCCTGCTCTCATTTGGGTAGTGTAATCAACTCTGTTATTGAGGGCTGGCTCCACTTCTGTAATTACGCACCTTCCTGCATCATCAGCCCCACTAGGTCATTCTTCTCAGCATGCTCATATGCTTCACTGTCTCTCATCTTTAAACAGAACATGCAAACAAACCAAATCCCTCCTTTGACCCTACATCTTCTTCTAACTGTTGCCTCATTTCTCTTCTCCCTTTTCTAGCAAAATTCTCAACAAAGTCACTCATGGTCTCTGGATCCACTTCCTTACCTACTGTGATGGGGTTTTGGTCCCCATAACTCTTTTTAAATATTCTTGTCTACATCCCAAAGAATTGCCACATTGTCAAATCCAATTGCCCTCTCCAAGCCCTCTTCTTACCAACCCCTTCAGTATCTCTCTGCACAGCTGATCACCTGCTTTATTGAAACCTCTTGCTTCTTTTCATTTGTATTCATCTGGTTTTCCTCATGCCTCTCTGGAAGTTTCTTCTGTCTTCTCTGCTGGAGTCTCCTCTTCAGCTTAACCTTGAATATGTTGAAGGACTCCCAGGACATAGCTCTAGGCCAGCCTCTCTACGTACATTGTCTCTCCAGTGAAATAGTCTGGTCCTAAGGCTTGAGATGTCATCAATATGTCAGGGACTCCCAGACTCTCCTTTTCATCCCTGGCCTCTCTCCAGGGCTCCAGACTCAGATATCCAACTCAGTATCTCCATTAGGTTCTTTAACTGGTGTCTCAAATATGAATTCATTCTCTCCTACCTTCTAACCTATTCCTCTCCCAGTCCTTTCAGTCTCAGGTAACAGAATCAACTACCCACCCGGGGACTCAATACTTGATTTTTCCTTTCTAATACATCAGTGGGTCTGGTGGCTCTGTCTTCAACGCATATTTCAAATCCACCTGCCTCACCCATCTCCATTGCTGTCACACTGATCTCAACCACCACCATCACTTCCTTGGATGACCACAATTGTCTCTGCATGTCCGTCTGCTTCTACTTTTCCCTCCACAATCCATTCCCACACAGCAGCCAGAGAAGTGTTTTTAAAATATAAATCAGATCATGTCATTTCTGTGCTTGAAAGCATCCAGATATTTCCTTTCCAAAAGCACTTAAAATACAATGTACAGCTTTCCCCCAATTTACAGTACTCTAGTTGACTTAGACCCTATGAAACTCCATTTCGCCTTGTACCATTCGCTCCCTGCTCCCTGTATCCCAGCCATTTTGACTGTCTTTTTCCTCCTCCAATATGCCTTCCACTTCTGGGTGCTTACATATTCTTTCCCCTTTGCATAAAGTTGGGCCCTTCTCATTTGTCAGATCTTAATTTAGATGTCACGGCCAGCTCCTTGGAGCAAACTTCCATGATGACTCTTTCAAAGCAAGTGCCTCCTCTCATCACCATGCCTGGTTCATTCCCATTAAAGCTCTTACCGTAATTATAGGCTTATTTTCTCATTTATTCTTGTCCATCCCCCGCAAGAATGTGAGCCCCATAACAGCATGGACTTGCTTGGTCTTGTTCATCCCTGCATCGCTGCTGCCTAGAACAATGTCTGTCCACACTAGGCATTCAATAAACATTTGTTGAATGGATCAATCAGTTTTTAGATTACTCAAGCCATTTGTTTTTCCTTGATTGCTTGACAATCTACTTGTTGGCAAAGTATCCCTCTATTAGAGGAAATAACATGCTTCATTTTCACCTTAAACATGTGTTCAAAGAGGACATAGGATTGTAACAGGTTAGAGGGAGTTCTTCGCTTTTAAGTCTGAGCTTTTAAGTAGTATATCCCTTAATGATGGCAAATAATTAAAGATTAAGTTATGAGACCAATCAGATTTCCACTAGCAAACATCACCAAATATTTTCTATTTTTCATCCCTTTTGTGAATTTTGTTTTATCTGACTATAAACATAGTCATAACTATGAAAGCTGTTGCTTAAATATAATTTTCAATTGTTGGCATTCTAGAAATTTTACAAAATTCACATTTGTGATTATTTCAAATTCATTAATCTCAAGACTGTGATGCTAACTCTTATTCTCAAGAATTATAAAGTAAAGATGATGATATGGAATGTATTGCTACAATGCCTTGGGATATGAAATTGTATCTATAAAACACTGATGTAATGCTATGAGCTCATATTATAAATAGATACTAAATCATCTGTGCTTTGTGGAACATTGTATCTTTATAATATCTTTTGTATATAATTCTAAAGAAAAAATAAAACAAAGTTGCAACTAACAGGTGCGTTGCTTCAAACATACAACTCTTGGCATTCCAACATTCTGACTCCAGGAAATGCCTGCAAAAGCTGGTAGTCAGCTTAAGATAGCACATTTAGTAACAAAGTAATTTTAGAAATCAATTTCAGAGGAGAAATAGAAGACAACATTTTCTGTAATATGCCGTCTTGCTTCAGTATGAAGTGTTGACATTGTTTTATTTTTTAAAGTGAAAGCAAAGGATCGAAAATAAGTATGTTGTGAAAATTCAACATAAAATACGTTGAAAAATTTTAAGATAAATTTTAAGATAGCATGTTTAACACTCTAGAAAATAGAAAAGAATAAAGTACCTCTAAAACGTCTTGGGGGGAAAAAAGGTAAATGTAAAACTTTGCTGATCAAGATAAAGATCCAATGTAAAGTACTCTTTTATTGGAAGAAAAAAGAAAAAGAGAAAAGAAAGGGCTAAAGAAAGACAGGGTTTGATTAAGAGGTGCCACGCCTGAGCTAGTTTAAGTGGTTGAACTCAATCTCCTGAGCTGTGCAATCAGAAAAATCATAGTCAGTCTTTGTTAATCATTTTTCTCTGCGTTTCCATATTTTGCAGGAGTCTTCAGCCATGAAAAGTGTGAAAGCACGGTCAGGATTACAGGTACAGCCGGAGCTCAGCGAGGGGCTAAGGTCAGAGTGGGCTGGAGACGTTGAGGACTATTTTCTGGGAGGGGCTGGTCTGCAGCTCAATCCTATTGGATGCACACTGATTTTGATAGAGAGAGAAAGAAGTGGGTGGTGAAGCAAGATGGGAAGATAGAGACACGTACAAAACAAAAAACAGTTAGAAAAACTAAGTTAGACTTTCCTACCTCCAGGAAAAAGGGTTTAAAAGGGCACTCTGGTGGAAACAGGCAACATTTAGTATAGTCAAAGAAGTGGAATGGGATGAAACTATGGTGGGTTTTGAGCTGCAGCTGGTATGGACAGGCAGTAAGAAGCTTCTGGAAACGTCAAGCAAGGGTGGTATCAAGGCGGTGGTGTTTCAGGAAGGGAAACGCTTGTCAGTGTCAGGCTAGTTGCAAGGACATAAGCTTGGAGTCATTCCTTGATACCATTTCTGCAACTGGGATGTGAAGTGTAGTAAACTGGAGATCTGCATTCTGATGGTAATAATTTTAATAGAGATAAAGGAGTAACTCCAAGAGGCAGTATATGGTATTTTACTTAATTCTCATAATAGCCCCCTCCAAATAGGTATTATTATTCCAATTTAGAGGTAACTGAGTCTCAGTGATTTATTAAATAAGTTACTCGAGGTTAAACAGTGGAAGCGAGGTTCAGAACTGGCAGATTCAATGAGTGGTGGATGAGGATGAACTGAAGTGTTTTTATTAGCATGTTTTATAAAACTGATTTTTATTTTTTATTTTCCTTATTTCTCCTAGGCCTGGGAGCCTAAAATTGGTTTCTGTACATATGTATATCAAAGATAAGTGCTGGGTAGGTAATGCCAAAAGTGAAAAAGGATGGCTAGGTTTTTTTTAGTTTGAAACTAAGTATTTGGTTTGACATAAATCAAAGATGAGTATCTGATAATAAACAACAGTCTAATAAAGACTGATAATAGGCGATTACCATCTGGTTAAGGCAAGCACCCTTCACTAGGTTTGCTCCAAGTGTGTCCCTCTGGGTAATGGTGACCCTGAGCTGAGAGTAATCGCAACCAGAGGTCTCAAGAGCACCTGCTCTGAGCAATATTGCAGTGCTGAGTGGAACCCGGGCAGCCCACCTGGCTAATTCAGAAGCAGCACAGCATCAACTTGCAACGCTGGGGTGAGAGGGCAAAGCTGAGCTGAGAGTTGAAAATACAGCTCAAGTTTTAGAAATCCAGATTTTTAAAACTGGGAAGCCCTCTTTCTAAAGAAAAACAGAAGCTCGCAGTTTTGTTTCATTAGCCACCGGTGCCTTGGAGCTATGAACTTTCCCCCACTTCGGAAATGTCTCTGGAAAATTCATTTCATGCTTGTCTACTCCAGTAAAATCCTTGATTGAACTGTTACAAAACAGGAGGCTTGGCCCCGGGAATGTGAGAAATCACCCGATACGGTGGAGCTAGTGGGCATCCTCAGGAGCCCCGGGCTTCTGACCTTGGGTTTACCTGTCATCTTGGACCGTGACCTTCTCCCAGCAGAGGGGACTTTCTGATTGTTCCCGTGCCACGGGACAGGGAAGTGGACAGAGCACACGTATCACATTCTTTGACACCCTAGAAAATATCCCCTAGCTGAGGGAAGGCTGTTGGTGCCCTGGCTCCAAGGCTCTGCATTCACCAGCATCTGAGCAACAGTCTTGGAGACTTACTTGGTAACTATCAAATCTCTCTGAAGGCCTCACCTTGTGTTTTTTCTCGTATAAAGACGAGTCTTCATCCATTACCTTATTGCTGTGAATGCTGCTCTTAAAAGAATGTAGTGAACATCCCTGTCTCCTCTGGTGTAGATTTTTACCCAAAGATCTTTGAGTAGATTCTTGGGCAGCCACCTGCTCATTTCCACCGCACTCGTTTCAGAACCCAACTCCTCAAGTTCTCACCCTCTCACTCTCAGAAAATGATTGAATTTCTACTTCCCCCAAGAAAAAGTGTGGATTCTCAATAAGAATGGATTGAGCATCTGCTTAAGAAGCAGGAATTGTGCTAAGTTCTCAGAATATGGAGAAAAGTAAACATCATCTCTGCCCTGGATAGGCTTATGGCTTGGAGAGGAATAGGCATGAAGACACATACTGGTGTCAAACTTTGTAGGTGAATTTAATGGATAGAAATACAGGGGGCAGGGTAGGGGAGGGGTCGGCATTTCCACTTAGGAGGGGAGGACAACCTTCCTAAGGGCTACTTGGGATGGACATCGTAAATTCCCCTCCCTCTGCTCCCTAAATAATCCATAGCTGTATGTTTTCCTAACATCTTTCTCCCTGTCTTAGAAGAGGTGTCTACAGTTTCCTAAGGTACCTTTACGTATCTCTTAAAGATGAACTTCATCTTCTAATGTAAAAGTGGGGCAAAAATTACAAAAGTATTATCAACAACAACATAGAAAAAGTTAAGAAAGAAAAATATCTACCATTACCCAACTGACTTTTTAATAGCCCTGCCATGGTTCCTTTTTGTCTGTTTTAATCTGTATTTTCCTCTATGGTTTTAAAAAGCGGTAACCAGAACCGCCTGTGTTCATTGCTCATCCTCTATGCCCTCCTTTGGGACCTGACCTGACCTCCTGACCTCGTGATCCGCCCGCCTCAGCCTCCCAAACCGTGCTGGGAGTACAGGCGTGAGCCACCGCGCCCAGCCAATTCCTTCGTTTATTAAATCTTTTCTGCTAATTAAAATGGAGTAGCAACACAAGTATCCACTGATGGGAGAACGGATAAGGAAAATGTGGTCTGTACATACAATGGAACGTTATTCAGCCTTAATAAGGAAGAGAATTCTGACCCATGCTACAACATGCACGCACCTTGAGGACATCTCAACCTGTTTAAATCAAAGGATTTAATCCGCACTGCAGCACACAGCTTATTTGTGATCATTAAGTGAAGTCGTGAAGAGGGGAACAAATGTGTACTCAGAGACGCAGCCAATGTCATCCCTATGTGAGACGTGCTTATTGGCTTGTGTGTTAAAGAGTGACTGGACTCCTATTCCTGTAGGCTGAGGTTTCTCTAAACTCCAGTTCTGCCTTCCCAGTCAACAGAGGCTAAAGATACTAAGGAACATTTTTCGTTTTGTTCCTCTCTGTACATAGTCTTTCAGGCACCCAGGTTTTGCAACTTCACTACCTCTCCTTTGCTATTGTTAGGAATAAATACCAGGCAGGTGGTGAGGGGACCAAAGAGCATACTGAAAAGGGGATGAGACAGGAGAGAGGATGACAGATCCAAAGCTCGGGGTGGGGAAAGAGCTTACTGGAATGATTTAAGACCCAGAAAAAGATGAAGACAGATACCCTGGGTGAATGTATCAGAGACTAGAGGCTGGTGAATCACCTCCAGAAAACCTGTGCCTCAGGCCTGAAAGAAGCAGAATTCCTAAAGTCAGCCAGAGGAAGACCAGTCTGATGGTTCACAGAGGTGACCCAAGGAGGCAGCCGGCACAGAGGCCGGGTAGGAAGTGCCGCAATACTGGCTGGCCCCTGGCAGTGCAGGAGAATCATCTGGAGCTTTGGGAGAATGCCAAGGCCTGGAGAAACACATATCTGTTATGAAGTTCAGAAACAGGCAGAAGTAAATAATATATGTTTTAGATATACATACATTTGCATATAGGTATAATAAAAGCATTTTCAAAACAAAGATGTAAAAATTCAGGGTCATGTTTACCTCTGGTGTAGGTAAATGAATGCATTGGTTGAGGATCACATGGATAATGAACTTATTATGATGTCCTGGCTCTTAAAGCAGGTGGCAGGTTCACGGGTATTTGTTACATTATTAAAATCAGACTATATGAAAGATGTGTCCATGCAGTGGTGATGCCTGTGCCATGAATCAAGATTCGAACTTTTCCAGTTCTAAGCGCCTGAGATCTGATTTAGAAATTTACTAATGCTACTATTAAAAAAATTAGGACGGCTACTATTAGGCCATCCTAATTTGGATGGCTACTATTAAAAACATTAGAAAATAAGTGTTGGTGAGGATGTAGAGAAGACAGAACCCTCATGCACTCTTGGCGGGAATGTACAATGGTGCATGCAGCAGTGTGGAAAATAGTGTGTGGTTCCTCAAAAAATTAAACATTGAATTACCACATGCTCTAGCACTACCATTTCTGGATATATATCTAAAATAATCACCACGCGCGGTGGCTCACGCCTGTAATCCCAGCATTTTGGGAGGCTGAGGCGGGTGAATCACTTGAGATCAGGAGTTTGAGACCAGTCTGGCCAACATGGTGAAACCCCATCTCTACTAATAATACAAAAATTAGCCAGGCGTGGTGGTGGGTACCTGTAATCCCAGCTACTTGGGAGGCTGAGGCAGAAGAATTGCTTGAACCCAGGAGGCCAAGGTTGCAGTGAGCTGAGACTGCACCACTGCACTCCAGCCTGGGCAACAGAGTGAGACTCTGTCTCAAAAAAAAAAAAAAAAAAAAAAAGTAAATAAAATAAAATAATTGAAAATGGGGTCTTTTCAAGATGAGAGAGTAAGACTTCCTTTATTCAGAGTTAGCCTGGTCCCCAGCACAAGGAGTCACCTTCTTGACGAGTTCAATTGTCTCTGGGGTTTCTGTCCATGTCCTGGAAAAGCTGTGCTCTCTAAAGACCAAAGATGATGGATGAAGTGATCTGCTGTGTTTGCCTCTTGGGGAAATCACATGAGTCCATGGGAAGAGAGTTGGGATATTCCTTCCTGTGGTTCTTTGGTTGTAACGTTAAAATTTCCCCCCTCCCAGTCAGGTCTATGTGTCAGGACCTTTCCAGTTCAACCAAGGCCAAGAACAAATGGACAGACAAGACGAATGAATTGAAATGAAATGTTCTCTATGCCATTGCATTGGGACCCAGAAGTTGAGTCCGCTGAATAAATTTAAAAGATGGCATGGGCAGGGTGCAGTGACACTCTGTGTTTAAAAAAGACAAAAACAAAAAATAGTATGAT